CACACAGCACCGCCCGCGAGCGGGGCATCGCACTGTGGCGGCTGCCTGGCCGGACCTCTCGCAGGGCAGCTGCACTGGATGGGGGCATCTGGTTAATGAGCGGGGGCACAGCTTCATTAGGAGACTATGTGCCCATTTAACAAAGGTGATGACTTCCTGGCTTTCCAAATACTGAGAGCGAGAAGGCAAACATTTCACTAGGCACGGCCGGAAAGTTGCTAGCTGTGTCAGAGGCCGAGTATCCGCTTACTCCCTGATGTTCATTAGAAGAGGGGAGAGAAACCTCTCCAGAATGTAACGTGAATCACAGCTCTCAGATTGCGCTCAGACTTAAAGTGCCTCCAGCATTGTAGTGGCCACTGGCTTTGGCAAAACAAGGTTAATTTAATTTATATTTTCTTAATATTTATCAGTTTTGGTGGTTATTTCTGATGAGATGAAACCACACAGGTAACAGCTCAAACAGTCACCTTCTGCACTGGGCAAAGCCCAGTGGGTATGCGCAGCTCGCTAAGGAGAGACATCGTTTCCTTCTCTTGTTTGCAGTGTCGACAGTACGTCAGGAAATATGAAAGAAAACTCACCTTGAACTTTGAAAACAGAATCTCGTCTACCATCACAGGCTCTTTTCACCCACTTAGTAGGCTTATAATAGCAAAAGTATAATTCAAATATTCAAGAAAGAGTAGAAATAACATCCTTTCTCCTAAACACGATAATCCTTCACTTTCAGGTGAGCAATGCCTTATTTGCTCTATCAGTCCTTCAGAAAACCTCCAGCAAAATCAAGGCAAACAATAATGTATCAAGCTGAAAAGCGTTGTTTAATTCAAAAGATGAGTCGCCTTCCATCAAGCCTTCCTTGTGTTTAATGCCGAAGCAGCTCAGGGCACGGCCCAAACTGGTTTGTCTTTGTGGGTTGACTTGAAACAAAAAAGTAGGAAGGCACCACTTCGGATCCTATCATCAATCCTATTAAGCCAGGGCAAGCGAACATCAAGTCAGAGCACAAAAATAACACAACAATAAAATAAAATTACTTATCTCGCTTCCAAGACATTGAGCAACTTCCTTCAATCAGGTTTG